AGTGTTACTAAAGCAGATACTAACCTGGACTTCGGGGACATCAAATTGAAATTGTTTCCCATCTTCTCTCTCAGCAACAATAGGACTTCCCTTTCGAATCAGTCCCCCAACCCATACTTGGCCTGTCAATACAGGTTTCTTGGGGTCCTCAATATTATATTGTCTCACATCCCCATGGAGCCAGTTCACAAAGTAGAAGTAGCGATCATCAAGAGATATCAAAAAGTCAGTTATGAGCGCAGGCATCTCTGGAAGAATCCAGTTCTGAACCTTCAGAGGCTGCACAGAAATTGCAACCTGCATTGTGTTTCTTGAGGTCAGGAACTTGGTGTTGTTACAAAATGAACAACAAGAATTATCTGCACACCTCATGGCTCCACGATCCATCTTCTGTCTTGAAAAATCTCACCATGTTGCTTGTTAATGCACAGCCAACAAAGCCAGTATCTTTGGAAGGATCATGAAGGAACCTGATCTGAAATATGAATGAAACMAATGTATTTAAGGTACCACACATGCTACATATCCAATGCAAGGATATATTGAAACAGAAAGACGAATGTTGTTAGCCTAAAAAGGTTTGTTATAATGATGTTTAGAGACCTCCAGGGGTAAAAGGCCAGTATTTCCAAGATCCAATGTTTGTTTTAGTTCACCATCAGGCCAGCTGTATACACTAAGATGTCGTCCATACAGACCATCTGCAACATGTTGAAGGTTGAATCCTTTTGTGAAAGCTGCTGGAGCTCCCCACGATGTGCTGATCATTGTCTTGTGACGAGGTTGGTACCAGAAATCATATCCAAAAGGTGGACTATGACCTGGTTTCTCCCACCTGAGTGGCAAGAGGAAGGCAAACATTCAGGAAGCTATGAGAAATAAATAACTCATCCATCAATGCAATTTCATTACATGGTTTCTTCATACCAGTTTAAAGCCTCCCAGGATAATTTCTGATTGATCCCATTTGTTTAACTTCTTAGCAGCATTTTTTAATAGATAATATGACAATGAT